CACCAAAAACAATACCAAGGTCTGCAATTTCGTATAAAATGCACATCGGTTGAAATCACCAATGCCGGCAATGAAAACAATTTTAACGCTCATGCAATTTATCAGAAATATCGTCTGTTACACTGCACTGAGCAACAACAGGGGTTCGTTACAAATGCCTGAAATACACATATTCTATAGACCTACTGACACATATGTTACAGATCTACTGATATGAGTCACAGCACACATAAACATTTCAGACATTTGTAATGAACCCCTGTGCTCCATCGCAAGATCACTCACTTCAAACGCGGCTCGCAGCCACTGTCTCCTCAGTTTCTGACGACATGTCAAATAACGAGGCCGTTATAGAATCTACAGACTGTAGTCAGATACAATCAACAAATAAATTCACGTCTGGATTCTTCACAAAATGAGCAAAGAGAAAAAGTTCGAATTAACTTCCAAAAATAAGTCCCTCGTGGAGGGCAAAGTCGGATTTACGGTGTTCACTGTATTTATCCATGCGCGAAATTTGTTCCGGAGAAAAATCGAAACAATTTCAAATCTAACTTTCAGCTCAGAGTCCTATTGATAAACTTAAATCACCCTTTAGACATATCATACGCAATTGTATTGATACTGAATTGTGGAATAACATTGAAGTGTTTGTTAAAATTTCAAAGTACTACTTTGTTTGCCAATCAGCACGCGACAAACACGCTGTTCAAACTATTGAACGAAATTTTGTGGACTGTCGATAAGGCGGGCATTTTGAATTTTAAATATAAATGATAAGTTAAAAAAGAACATAAGAGGCAGAGAAAACGTAAATATAAGGATTGATCTGTTTTTGTATGGTATTTATCCATAGCGCGCATTATGTTGTTTGCTTGCAAAGCTGTGTCATTCAAATAGATCATAAATACCATACAAAAACAGTTCAATGCTTAAGTAGAAAACCACGTCTTCGTGATCATCCAATGGAATCCCTTCGTAATTTTAAAAGGTCAAAAGAGTTCTTCTTTGCAAGCAAAATATAGTATATATTCAATAAATATTTTTCTCTCATTTCCCTGTGGGTACGATAAAGCTGTCTAGGGTAAGAAAGGGGTGTACTTTCTATCATACACCCCATTTCACGTGACGTGACGTCCCAATAGCTCAACAATGACATGACGTCACTAATTTGGAGTTCTTCGATGCAGCAATGCGGAAAAGGCGACGTGATGAAATTAAAACCTTTTACGATATTTTTACCGCCAACTTTAAAAAGATGTGATTATTTTTTCTGCGCAAACATTGTTTACAAATATGGGATATGCCAAATCTGACTGGCTAATTCGTTTTCGTCTAAAAAGCTCAGGAGGGATTATATTTTCAAAATGGTGGCCAGTTCCAACGCATTTTCATGGTTTCTGAGCTTATTCTGGTGGTTGGAATGAAAGAAAATTTCTCTATCGTGCCCGAGGGTGTATGATATGGAAATTACGTCCAAGGGGTTTTCAAATTTGAAAATCCCGAGGAAAGTTGTTTTAGTTCGGACGATATTTTTTTTACAGAAAAATCATTAAGTTATAACCTACATAGTTTGTGTATTGAATTCCGTCAGTTATGGTAGCTGTGAATCATTAACATTTGACCTGTAAATCATTTATCTTAACCTGAAGTCATTCATTTCGCATCATGGGGTAATGGCATATCATTGTTTTTGCCTATAAGGTAGTGGTAAGTCATTGGTTTTTGCCCTACAAAAAAGAAGTAAAACATTGACTTTGCCCTAAATGGTAATGGTAAGTGATTGATTTCACCCTTTAGGGAAGAGATAAAGCGTTGTTTTTGGCCTATGGGGTAGTGGTTAGTCATTAATTTTACCCTACAGCATACCAGTTAACACTGACTTTGCCAAACAGGAAAGAAGTACAAGGCAGATTTTGCCCCAAAGGGTTGTGGTAAGTCGTTGATTTCACCCTCTAGGGAAGCGGTAAACCGTTGATTTCGCCCTGCATGAGACAAGCAAATAATTGTTTTTGCCGTATCGAGTAGTAGTAAATCATTATTTTTTGCCAAATTGGATAGTGGTTAATAATTGATTTTCCCCTTCCTGATAGTGGTTAATAATTGATTTTCCCCTTCCTGATAGTGGTTAATAATTGATTTTTCCCCTTCCTGATAGTGGTTCATAATTGATTTTCCCCTTTCTGATAGTGGTTAATAATTGATTTTTCCCCTTCCTGATAGTGGTTAATAATTGATTTTCCCCTTTCTAATAGTGGTTAATAATTGATTTTCCCCTTCCTGATAGTGGAACATAAAGGTTTTCCACCTTCTAATAGTGGTTAATAATTGATTTTTCCCCTTCCTGATAGTGGTTAATAATTGATTTTCCCCTTTCTGATAGTGGTTAATAATTGATTTTCCCCTTCCTGATAGTGGTTCATAGAGGTTTTCCACCTTCTAATAGTGGTTAATAATTGATTTTTCCCCTTTCTGATAGTGGTTAATAATTGATTTTCCCCTTCCTGATAGTGGTTCATAGAGGTTTTCCACCTTCTAATAGTGGTTAATAATTGATTTTTCCCCTTCCTGATAGTGGTTCATAAAGGTTTTCCACCTCCTAATAGTGGTAAATAATTGATTTTCCTCTTCCTGATAGTGGTTCATAAAAGATTTTCCCCTTCCTAATAGTCGTTAATAATTGATTTTCCCCTTCCTGATAGTGGTTAATAATTGATTTTCCCCTTCCTGATAGTCGTTAATAATTGATTTTCCCCTTCCTAATAGTCGTTAATAATTGATTTTCCCCTTCCTGATAGTGGTTAATAATTGATTTTCCCCTTCCTGATAGTGGTTAATAACTGGTATTCCCCTATAGGGTAGTGGTAAGTCATTGATTATGCTCGATAGGATAGTGGTAAAAGTAGAGAAGAGTAGAAGTTAATCATTCACTTTAGGGTAGAAGTAAGTAATTGTTTTGTCCTATATGATAGAGGAAAACCATTTATTTTCCTATAGGGTAACGGTAAATCATTGGTTTTGTCCTCTAGAATAGCGGTAAATCATTGATTTTGTCCAATAATTTAAAGTGAATGTGTATTATGAAATAATCTAAAGACAAAGAATAGACATATTCATTGTCTATATTGTGTTTCCCTCCGTCCACATACGACCATAGACTGCTTTCATAACATTAGAGTAGACAGCGTGGGTTATCATTATAACTCGCTGTTACTACTTCTGTACGGGAGACTCCGGAATGTTTATCCCTTAAACTTACGTCTGTGAATCACTGTAACGCGGGATTTATATAGCCGCGGTCTCACACGTGTCGACTCTGATAGATTATATATATGATATGTTTACTGACACAGAAAACCTTTTACACACCTTCCTACTCTGATATCTTCACAGTTCACTCATTAGTTCCGTTTTCCGTTTACGATTTAGGACCTGATGCTATGGTGTTTTTTTTTCTTAGATTAGCAATTTTAGTTTTCAGTTTTTAGAAAATATTGTGGTGTTTTTTTAAAGTAAAATATATTTTATACGTGAACTTTCTGTCGCGTTCTGATCTTTGGGTAGATTTCTTCAGCTTAACTGCTAACCTAACTAATTGATTGTTAGAACGTATAGCCTTTATTCATGTAATTACAAATTGACAAATCTTATCAGAATTACTAAAACTAGAAAGTAAGTAAATCTACAACCAAATAGAATTTACAGAAAAGAAGTACCACCACGTTTGGTTTTTTCCGGGAACTTTAGTTTGCTCCCACATTATACGACACCCTGTGCACTACCATCCGGACCAACAATATTGATTAATATGAGTTGATAACACTTGTTTCGCAATTGTCGTAAAATAAATCAATTGAATTAAGATTTTGCAAAGGAGGAAAACAAACACAACCCTTTTGTATAAACATCATGAAAGGAACCACATGTAATGCTTAAACTCCATTATATGTTTTCTGTTCATTTTTAGGGGTACGGTGTGTCTTCCTTTAGTCTCGTTAGTTTTTTTGTTCTTTTGATAAACAATGGATATCAACACAACAGTAGACGTGGAAACAACCGATGTTAAAACAAAAGTTGATGCAGAGACAACAAATGACATAAAAAAAATAATAGATGGAGAAAAACAACTGATGAAATTACAAAATTACATGGAGAAACAACAGTTTACGTAGAAAACACCGTGGTACAAATGCTTACAAAGACAACAGTTAGGAAGAAACATCGGGGTACAAGTATTAGTATAAAAGTAACATTTGATATAGAAGCAAGTGGGGTCGAAATGTTTGTATAAACAACTACAGTTTATGAAAGTGTGCGATTGATGAATAATCTGTACCAGATTTACGAAATAAGAATGCACCAATTTGAATATTTGATGCAGACATTTTTATACAATCGGGAGTTGATGAATTGCTATTACAACTTTTCTTGAATAAATATGTATGTATAATGGATAGTGATACTACCTTACATCAACAGGATACATTCTAATTATTTAAAAAAGTTGAAATGCATTGATTGTATTTATCAGTAGTATAACACATTTGCATCGAAAATAATACAGACAGAAATACACTTATATAACGATGCATTAATATAGAAATAAACTTTACTTTCCAAATATCGCAAAGCTTATTTATTTAGTAGTAATTACAGTAACTAAGGTCTTACTAATTGTCTCACATGCGTATATTTGCTCTAAAGTGAAATATTTGACATGTTCGGTCTTGAAGTAAATCATTTTAACCCCTAATACGTCCATTGATAAGTACATGTGTGGGGGTACGACGTCACCTCGGTATTAACGTAGATTAGATCGAACACCATTGACTGGCAAGGACGTCATTCCTAAATATCCCTGTATCAGTAACTTAAATAAATGTTATCGTCCCTGTACAAACATTGTACCGTAATGACCTTATATGTTTGTGTACTACACTTCCGATAATTTACTATAAATATCAGGAGCACATGGCTCTCTGTATACCAACAAACTCAACAGAAAGGCGACAGTACAAGAAACACACAGAAAGCAACACTGAAGTTCTGTAGGACACTGAGATTTAATATCAACTGCTACTTTCCGAAAAAGGTATGTTAACATGTATTGCCATATCAAGCTGATATGCGTCTTCTTTCGCCTTTTAATTTCATATTTCTTTATGACCGTCGCATTTTATTGATAATTGTAAATGTTAATGAAGAGAAATGCTTAAATATATTAAATAGAGAAACATTACTTTTAACAGTCTCTTTGAATATAAAACCTTTTGCAATATGAACTTTGCTAATAATTATCCTGTATTTCATATTTCAGATACAAATATTATATTAACAAATAAGCATGAATTTTGTCATCATGGCGACACTGTCGATACTCCTGACGCTGAGTGTGTGGATATCTGGGGTCAGAGGTCATGGTCGACTGCTGGAGCCCCCGGGTAGGGCCAGTATGTGGAGGTTTGGCTACAACTCTCCCCCAAACTACGACGACAATCAGCTCTTCTGTGGAGGATTTAATGTGAGTTCATATTTAAGTTGATCATTTAAGTACAGTTCGATTTCCTTAATGCATATACCAGAAATAACGAATGCAACAAAATTGATAATATGAAAAGATGAAGAGCGTGAAAACATCAACACAATTTACAACCAAAGGATAAAAAATCCAATAGAAAAGAAAATGCTATATTTGATATATTCGTTTTACAGCGTCAATGGAAAATCAATGGCGGGAAATGTGGTGTTTGTGGCGATCCATGGGATGGACGACGTGAACACGAGGCTGGCGGGAAGTATGCCACCGGAACTATTGTCCGCCATTACAGCGAGGGACAGACAATCACAGTCAATGTCCAGATAACGGCGTCACACAAGGGTTACTTCGAGTTCCGCCTGTGTCCTCACAACAACCCCAGTACCCGTGTGTCCCAGGCGTGTCTGGACCAGCATGTCCTACAGCAGACAGACGGCAGTACTCGAGTGTATGAGGCTGGTCATCCCACCACTAATACAGTCCATCTCAAACTTCCGACCGGTGTCACGTGCTCTCAGTGTCTTCTTCAGTGGAAATACAACGCAGGTAAGCCAATAATGTAATCAGAATCGATTTTATATATTTCTTATACTTGGCATTTGTTTCGATCGAAAGTATTGTTTTTGTTTCAATTTAACGACCAGACTTTTGTATCTATGTATCGCACGTTTTTCTTCATGAAGAAGTGCATGTTTTGTTAATTAAGATTAATGTGAATGAATAAAGATGAAATAAAGATATTAAAATGATTTGTATATCAAAATATATCTATTATTTTCATAGACCTAAAAGTATGTTTGTCTGTAAAAAAACCCTATACTATTTTCATTGGCAAGATATTTCTTTACAGGGAACTCGTACGGCTGTGACGGAACAAATTGCTGTATCGGATGTGGAGAACAAGAACAGTTTTACGGCTGTTCTGACGTCAGTATAGGTTCTGTTGATGCTCCGTCATATTCATCCGAACAGATTTCCTCGTCTGTCAATCATCCGGTCAACATTTCACCTCAGGGACAAACTCAGACTGCAGGAATTCATTTCCAGCCTCTGTCCTCTGTCCAGCATCAAGGACAATTCATACAGACTCCACAGTCCTCTGGCTATATACCACAGAACATTAATCCTGTCAGTGTAGGGTCTGTCGGGGCATCCGGACAACTTCACTCGTCTGTCTATCAGTCAGCCCAGGTCAAACCACAAGAATCGGCTCATACGTCAGGTTCGATTCTCTCGTCTGTCTTTCACCCAATCAACGTCATACCTCAGGGACAAACCCAAACTTCAGGGATTCACTTCCTACTCCCGTCCTCCGCACAGCATCAAGGACAATCCATACAGAACCATAAACCAGCGGGTTATGTACCTCAGAACGCCTTTCCTTTCATTTCCGGTCATTTGTTTTCCGGTGTAACCGGAAGTCAGCCATGTAAAGCTACTCCTCGATACCGAGCCGTCTACCAGTACGCTGACAAGTACTGTGCGGTACAGTGTAGTAGAGGCAACTGTCCGGGTCTACAGTACTGTACATCGGCGTGCCGGAGGTCGACAGGTGGCAAGTAGCGTATTTAAAACTTTTACAAAAAGCACTGTGTGTTTACAATACGCTCAATTTTCTATTCACATGTCATCATTCTTTATCGATGAATTGTTAATATTATTATTTATCATCTTTTTACATTTATATTGTTCTCGTGCATAATACATTGTCAGTGCCAAAGACATACAACATATAATAGCACATTGTTTGGTGTTAGTGAATGATGCCACACATCGACGTTTTATAACTTTCTAAGATGCTTTTGTCATGATGTTATCATTTAGTGTATAATATAGCATTATGAATATATATATTTTGTATAGGAGATGCGATTGTGTTGAACTTTACACATTTTTGATAATAAAACTTTGAAAAAGGAAATATAGAGCTTTTTGTATTTATCATCAAAATAGATATATACCGTTTTAGGTAAAATAGAACACACAAGACCGTCAATATACCAGGACAATATCTATAAAACTGTTATTTCTATAAGTGTCAAATCAAAAAATTACATATCTTGACACTCTAAACTATCTCAACACCAAAGACTGATGTGGCGCACTGAACCAATACACAAACACCTGGACAATATGTATACAGTTATAAGACATTATTCCGTCCATACACATGGGGCAATGTGTCAATAGCAAAATCAGTGCAAAATCACAACCAGAGTCGGTCAGAGGAGTCATCAAGTGACAAAAACAGGAACAAAGAATGTCAAAACCGAAAATTCAATATTTCATGTAATTTATATTTTATACGCAGAAACAAACTTAAATCAAATTGTTATTCAATATCAACCCCTTATGTTTTGCCAACCAGTCTGTTGTGTCTCAATTAAACGTACTTGAACCATTGTCCATCCGAAACTTCTATACTAATTAAACGTTACAAAAGCAACAAAAAAACCTATTAAGGTTTCAAATAAACAAAACGACTGGATAACGGTAAAGTCTACAAGATGGTCTTTCGTGGCAGCATTAAATTGTTTGACATGATGTGGCAACATTTCGAGACATGCAATTGGTGTCGATGTTTAACTTGATACCATGTTATCTAACGATATGCAACAAATAGAAGTAACAGATGGATATAAAACAAATGTGCAAACATTTAACGTTGGTGTAACTCAAGGCGGTGAACCCGAACCTTATTATTCATTAATTGATTACCTATTGGGTTAATTACGCTCCCGTGTGAAACGTTTTGCCGAGGACATCGCTCTTTGTTGTAGGCATACAACAGATAGATTAATGAGGTTCTAGATATAATGTCGTTGTGTCGTATCTATATAGTGGATATAAATGATAAGAATCATGAGTAGAACATGGTCAGAACATTTTTTGATTACATGTTTATGAAAACAGTTCCACCAATGATACAAAGTTTAAACACAAACTAGTGTTGTGTGATATAATCTCACGCAGAACAAATGTGATCTTCTTATTAAAATATCTTAGAAGTATATCTACGGATATGTAAATGTACTTACTGAAGAAAGACATGATATTTGAATGAATTTTCCTTTTATAAAATGCTACAGCAAGACTGTTTTAACTAGTACGAGGACATTTTATGCCTATTTTAACAATGATCAACAATCATCACCTTACATATATTTTCATAATTCTTCTCTGTAGAACAAACCACTTGTATTAATATCATATCTTTGCGGAACAGGCCACCAGTTTTAAATATTTCTATCATTAAGTCTATAACGAAACTAACAACGATTTTGAAATAGCATTATGTGAAAACTACAGCCTTAATTTTTCAAGATGATGTATAAACGAACGTGAAATGATTTAAAACATCTCAATCAGACACTTCTAAACAATTTATTCAAGTGAAACTTACAAGTACTGCAATCATATAACTGTACTGATACTTTAAAGTATGATGATAGCTGAAGAAAATGGACATATTTCATATTTTCACCAGGGAAAATGTGAGTCAGCTGAATTCAAATCTATATAAGGACCATCTTAAAGATAACCCAATTTTGTGATTATGAAAATGTAATGTAAACTGTATGGAATTTCTTCCATTGCTCTAGATATGCGAAATAAATTCCGACCTGTTCTAGATTACATTGTAATATCTTGAAGATTTTAACCAGCATCGTACTGCAAAGTGACTTTACTATTCGTTCTTAGAATTCTATTATAAGTGGTTACCATGCCACTTCGTGTAGGGAACAGAGACTGTAATGTGCCTCTAACTACACAGCAGAGGCTGTTAAAAGATCCAATATGTGATTGATTTCCATGTATAAACACCCAAGGCAACAGGTTGGAGTTTTATTTTATTTACTTTAAGTTCCAATTTAATTATTTTATAAATATAAATGTCTGTCATATATGTCTACCTATTTTGAAAGACTTTCATGGGCAATACAGGTGCCTTATCCATTTATACATTAATCTGTTGTAATAAAATTGATTTGAAAACAAAAGCAAGTGCAAGACGCACGAATCCCATACGAAACATTCATGTAAGAGACATGATCAGGATTTGGGACAAGGGTTATTACCAAAGTTCTCCACAAAGCGATTAAAAGATTATCTGGAACAATAAACATTATGAAGTGTAAATCAATTTGGCACAAAAATATAATCAAGTATAAACTTCTGGATCAGAGCTGCGTGTCTAAAACAGTTGATTTGCACAAATGTTTTATTACCAAGCATACTTATGTAATTCAATTTAAACAACAACCTAGTTAAAACATATATCATATCTTGTTGTATAAATATATTTAGTTACTACATCCCATCGCATGTATCGATCGTCCTCTAGTTATAATTTAGTTTTCCACGGACGGTACATTGACCTAGTTATTTTTCCATTTAGAAACGATGCTAAAGTAGTAAGCAGCTCCTAGTTATGAGGAAATGGAAAATCTTATCAATTTTCATATTTTCAGCTGTACAGGTAGTTACACTGCCGCAAATTGATTTAGCGACGTAGAGTAGAATAAGTTAAACGGATAAAAAAAATCCTCAAAGAGGGGCGTTACCTCGTTGCTAAAGTGTATTATGGTACAAATGAAATACCATACCGGGGTAGTTTGTATAAAGTACCTGTTGTATAGCAGAAAGTTGTAAATATGTAACGTTATAAAGGTTTTTATAGACTATTTTCAACTTACACTTTATTCATTAATTGACATAATTTTCACCTTTAGTACCATTGATGCGTCCTAGGTGGACAAAATAGTTAAATTGCGCAGTAAAATTGTTCACATTCTGTATCGACATGCTTAATTTGTAAACAGATGTTTTCTTAGTTCCTAGGCCTAGTGATAAGTTATATGACTGCAGCGTAGATTGAAAATTCTTCTGTAGCAATATATGGCTGCGGCGAAGGTTGAAATGTTAAACTTTGCAAACTTATCAAACATTCAAGGAGTAATGTCGATCCTGTATTTCTATATAAATTATATATGTTATATACAAGAAAGATATCATATATTTTAGGTATGATATAAATGATATCAAGTATATAAGATATTTTATATGGATTGAAATCTATTGACTTTTAAATCGGGGAGCTTATTTCTCTCTCGAAGAATATATTCGGAGCACGTTTTTCAGGATTTGTCAGAATTTGTCAGTGATGCGCTACTGGATGATATGTAGGCCTATTTGGTCTATTTCGCCTTGTCTCTGTTATGGCGTAGGAAAGGCTGTCATTATACACAACCCAAAGGTGATCTCAGACTGTTTAATATTGCGATTTGTCTACGGGTTGTAGACAGCAAGTGAGACCCTCGACAGGTTCTTGTCGGAGAGACTTCGTTTGTCAACATCATGTTAAAACCTTGTTCCGATATAAGGTAGCTGATACAACAAGTTTTCATTCATTTAAGATATCTGATATAGCATATGATGCAATGTATATAACATATATTAGATATGTCATACATTACAGTAATTGTATATAGATATCATATTTGGTAGAATGGTGGTGAATGATACGCTACATGATGATATGCAGGCATTTTTGTCTATTTCGCCTTTGTCTTTGTTATGGCATATCAGAGGCTGTCATTATACACAACCTAAAGGTGAACTCAGGCTGTTTAATACTGCGTTTTGTCTACGGGTTGTAGACAGCAAGTGATACCCTCGACAAGTTCTTGTCGGAGATACTTCGTTTTCAACATCATGTTAAATCCTTGTTCCGATATAAGGTAGCTGATATGATAACGAGTTTTCATCCATTGATTTGATATAATATGATACATTTTATATAATATATATTAGATATGTCATATATTTCAGTAATTTTATATAGATATCATGTTTTCAATAACATACATGCATGTTTAACTTTTGAAAGTTTGGTTATGAACAGCTAATGTTTAACGAGGTATATTAGCTCTGTAAACATATTTCATTTCCTGATCAAATATATTTATTGATGGTGCCGGAGGACTGTTCCATTAATTTTATTACTCGTGGGAAGAAAGTTCTACCTTAATTCAATGTTTGTATGTTGTAGTTACGTGTTTTGGAATATCCCCTGATACCATTTAATTCGGCAAATAGAAGAATAGCAATAAATTAATTTAAAATTAAAGGGTATTATAAAATAATCTAAAGACAAAGCGTCGACATATTTAAAATTGTTTATTTTTTGTTTCCCTCCGTTCTCAGACGACCATTGACTGTTA